CCCCCCCAGGCCTTCACCGAGCTGCAGGCCAAGGTGATAGACACACAGCAGAAGGTGAAGCTGGCCGACATCCAGATCGAGCAGCTGAGCAAGACGAAGAAGCACGCCCACCTCACCGACACGGAGGTCATGATGCTGGTAGATGAGACCCGCATGTACGAGGGCGTGGGGAGGATGTGAGTACTGGCCCGGCCTGTGGTGGATGGCGGGGGCTTCCTTGCTGTGCCGAGAGTGGCTAGCTGGCTGGCTCTTTGCCTGGGCATCCCTGGTTTCTGTAGCCGAGTGGGGTAGTGATTGCGGCCCCGTGCACAGGGAGACCCCCTAGCCTTCCTGTGTAAGAGGCATTTAGGCTGCTGCCCTGGCCAGGAGGCTCTTCCCTTTACAAAGAACATGCCAGCTTTCTCTCAGCATGTTCATTTGTTTCAGTTTTGTCATTGTCTTTCATTTTTAATTCCAGCCATCTGCCTGGGAATGCAGTGAGACTTACTGGGTTTTATCTCTTGGGATTAGCTGCCGGCTGCCTTGAAGAAGGCCTGTTATAAATGTTATTGGCTTTGTCTGGTTTTGCTTGCTGGCTCTGCTCCTGGCTGCGATGGTCTCATCTGACATCTCTGTGAAGTTTGTAATCTAGACTAGCAGAGTGGCATTGTAACGACAAACAGCATTTGTGAGAAGGCCCTCACAAATCTGTCCAGCTTCAGTCATTTCCACTGTAGTTGATATCAGGCTCCTTGAAAAACCACAGTGCACAGTTCATCTGCTCAGGGCTTTGCTTGCACAAATGTTCTACAGAAATGCACTTTGCAGTAGCATGCCAGGGAATGGATCTAACGGGTGTTGCCCAGATTTTTTTAAACCCTTGGAAGTGAGCGTAAAGCTCATATGGGTAGTCGCAGTGCACTCATAAAGATGTGTTTCCATGTGTTGGATGGCTGTCAGAAGAAACACCTTAAACCATAAGTACGTGTTTTGATTAACTTCCACAGCACACTTCTATTTGACTTCAGCAGCCTCTAGAAGACCATACAAAGTGGTTTCAGATCCGAAACACGTGCTTAGTTCATAAATTTCACACTAGACTTCGGTGTTTCTGTTTTGAGAGTACTGTGATTTTTCTCTTGTGTCTCTTGCGAGTTGGGTAACAGTGATGACTCTGCTCAGCTTGGGATGTGGTTTTGCGAAACACTGAATCTGCTCTGACTACTGCCAAAAGGGGTGATTGTATCGACCTCTTCCCCACCCTGTGTTTACCCCACCTTCTTTGTGTCAAAGTGGATGATCACAGGGCCAAGTGGTGAGCCAGGTCAGACTACAAGTGCCCTGACCATGCAATCTCCAGATCAAGTTGTAGGAAGGTGACAGGATTGGGAAGCCCGGAATGGTGTGTATTTTGCCCTTTGCTGCGAGTTTTCAGGTGAAGTTGTACCCAGGCTAATGGAGGTGTTCAGTGTGACAGACTCCTCTTCTTCGCTCCCAGTAAATAAACTTCTTCATATAGGTGAATTAAATGTTGGGTTTGTGTGGGGGTGCTAGTGACTGGTACCTTAAAAGGAGATAGGTTTTGTTCCCTTGCAAGAGGTGACTGATTTGACCTGGGCAGGCTGTAGGCGTAGCAAACACTTGTGTTTAGAGTAGTCATGAGACGAGTCATAAGGGTTTTTTCTGTTTGATTTTTGTCACAGAGCAGACAGATGAAGAGTAGAAGAGAATTCTGGAGTCAACAATTTTTTTTAAAGTTTTTT